AGTTGGGAATGCGAGATTGTAGAGACGAACAAATGAGTTGAGAGATACTTCTGATTTTTTAAATTTTGGCGACTACCTTTGACTTGAAATTGTAAAGAGCTATAACGAAATATGGAAATAAAACAATAACCAATGTCCATTCAAACAATACAAATCGGGAGCAGAGCAAACACGGACCTCTAAAAACATCAACAATTTAATGCTGACTGACGTTTTTCATTCTAATTGTTTGTACCTTCAGAAAGATACTCAGAATATTAATCTTTTTTCTTTTTTAAATGCTACGTAGAGGTACTTTTAATCTTACGGATGTTACACTCTCCACAACCAAAAAATAAGATATAGAAATTTAAAAAAAATACTCAAAGTGCAGTAATCTGAAGGAATTTGAATTGAACATCTGCATCAATTAGCTATTGATTAAGAGTATATTTTTTTCTTTTGGATTAATAATTACTTTTTATCTGGATTCATTTCATTGTGGAATACTTACCTGCTTTAGGATTAAGTATGAATAATGCAATTATGAGTAATTCCATAGAAAAAACTAAATTTCTTGAAACCATCCGATTATGATTAGTTTTCAAATGAGTGTTCTGTGTTCTTGTAAGTCACATTCTTGTAGAGATTCCACACTTTAATGGTTTTTTGATGTGTGGAAAATATACATATGCAACACTAGTATTAAAGGTGGAAAATCAACCCAACTTGTCGTACCACCCATCTATAAACATACTGGGTACTAGAATTTATTTCCCGATAAAGTTTGGTAAGAATCTTTGAAAACGTAATCAAATCACGCTATCTGTAAACCGCCTTTGAATAATTTATTTAAATGATACCAATATCTAACTTGGGTATTTGTGTAACCAAACTCTGCTTACAAATTTAATTACTTCTCATTAATCATTTGAGACATCTTATTCTTCATTATGCAACAAGAGGTGAACATCTGTTGGCCCATAACACATAACAATTTTATTGATGAACGTTGAATGAAGAAGTTAATTTGCTTTTTCATTTATTCCTTTTTTTCCAGTGTAGTATTCTCTCTCTCTCTCTCTCTCTCTCTCTCTCTCTCTCTCTCTCTCTCTCTCTGTGTGTGTGTGTGTGTGTGTGTATGTGTGTGTGTGTGTGTGTGAGGGTATGTGTGTGTGTATGTGTGAGGGTGTGTGTGCGTGCGTGCAATTGAATTAAGAATGCAATCTTTAATAAATTCGATATATCCATTTGAACTCCAAATAAAAGTACTACGGAGTCTGAAACATGTATTTCATATTTGGATATTTTACTAGAGAAAAACATTGATGGCAAACTAACAACTAAACTTTATGATAAAGCTGATGACTTTAATTTTTCGATCGTCAACTCCCGTATTTATGTAGCAATATACAATTATCACCTGCATATGGAGTTTAAGTCTCCTAGTTGATTCGATATGCAAGAGCATATTCTCGTTCTACGTATGAACAATTTCTAAATGGAGGCAAGCTAGTGACAAATAAGTTGATGATACATGGATATCAGCAGTGTCGTTTAAGTCAAATTTCTCAAAGTCTAAGTTCGATACAATGACCTTGTCATCATATACAATCTATCGATAAGACAATGTTGCCTGACATTTTCCATACAAATTCTTAGGCCACTGCGTTTGGAATGATTGAAATCAACTGTTAAAGATGATTTGTCCTTGAGAGGTTATTACAACTAAAAATGTGACCATCTTCAGAATGTTCGAAAAGACGTCAAACTAGATACTTTGTGCATCATATAGCAGCTTGGAATCTTTAAGCCCTATTACAATATTCGCCCTTTTGCTACAATTATCCCTATTTGCTACAAAAGACGTCAAATCATTTCATGTATAGAAATGTTTTCTACAATACCTTCTGATTTTTCCTATACACACATATATCTAAAAATGTCTGCTTTATAACCTAGCACTGGGTCGTATTTTGGCTGACTTGTTTCATATCAATTGTTATATTGAATTTGACAACGGATTGTTCCGTCTATACCTGTTCAATACGTAGGGCTCAAGGCGGGTGTGACCGGTCAATATGGGATGTTTACTCCTCCTAGGCACCTGATCACACTTCTGGAATGTTCAGGGGTCCGTGTTTTATGTCCCTTTTACAGAATTCATTTGTATTGTTTATAGATTTTTTAGATCGATCACTGTTTGTTATCTTCATCTTTTTCATTATACATGTAATTGTGTATGTACTATACCTATCATTGTCAATCCATAAATTTAATTGTCAATACTAGTAATACACACTTGTAACCTTGACAGTTGTATATCTACCATATACATATGCTTTAATAATTTTTTATGTACTTGTAACGGGAGAGGAGAAAAATGCAGCGGACCAGACCGGGATTCGAACCGGACCCCCTGAATCTCCAATCAGGTGCTCTACCAACTGAGCTATCTGGCCACCGGCGATCGAATCCGTCTGGTCCGCTGCATTTTTCTCCTCTCCCGTTACATTTGGTGCCGTGCCATGCCCTGGAAGTGACAGGTAAGAGGCCTGCCAGGGATGAGCCTGGGTTGGAGTCTGTGGGGGGGCCAAAGAATTTTAAGGAGGGAGGAATGTGGCGGTCAGACGGTTTCGATCACCGGTGGCCAGATTGCTCAGTTGGTAGCTATACAGCACCTCACTGGAGATTCAGGGGGCCCGGGTTCGAATCCCGGTCTGGTCTGCTGCATTTTTCTCCTTTCCCGTTACACACTGTACCTTCCATTGTCAATCCTTACATTTGTTAATTCCACACACTTGTGACCTTGACCTTGACCTTCTTGGAGAAGACTTATATAGGCAATGTTTGAAATAATAAATATTACAAAATATAGCAGCGTGGAATCTTGAGTCTAAAGGAAACAGTCCATAGTTTAAGACGGCAGCATCTAGGTCAATATTATCGTGTATTTAATTCTTTCAAATCAAAATGCACTTAATTCCCAAGGACACTTAGGCCTCTGTTATACAAATTTAAATATATTTATTAGAATTGAGAGTAACGGGCCTATTGAATGACCTGAAAGACCAAAGATAATTTTAACCGAGGTCCCGTGTCACGGTAGTTGTGGCACATTTATGAACCTTCACTACTCAAACACCATGAGTGCTTAGATAAGGTCTTAATTTGAAACCCTTCATCGGTATATGGTGACGTCTCCAATTGAATGAAAAAAATCTCAAATGGGACGGAAGACAACATACTATCCATCAATCACTCAATTATACAGTCTATTTATTAGTTGTCCCTTATTGTCTATAGTAAGTAAAACATTCGAATATGGAAAAGATGTGACAGATTCTGCAGTATCTTTTATTTCGAGTTCACTGGGGTATATCGAGTCCACATATGAATGGAAGTATCTATCGTTAAGTGACAAAACGTCGTCGATATATCTGAATGTCGATATGGAGGCCACAGAAAAAGTTTTCTTCTCATGTAAACGTTTTTGAATAAATTCTGCTTAACAGTAGTATTAAAACAGGTTGGCTAAAAAAGGGGCACATTTACTGCCCATCGAAGTTCCATCAGATTGTGGAATACCTGGGCTCCAAAGACTACCAAGTACAAAGATGCTGTCAATGACGAACTCAAGCATCCTTTTAATATCAATAGAGAGGTTGAGATTTCATACGTGTACGTGTACGGGTACGTCTAGTAGGGGAATTCCCTAAATTTCTTGCGTATTACGTCATCAGTTTTGGTGTTGATAAGTTTTCTACACGTTCCTACGACTTGTAAAAAGGCATCTACACGTAGGCGTAAACTTGTAGCTTTTTTTTAATAAAAACTAGTCAATTTATGTGTGAAACTGTTATTGTTGTTCATTATTTAGGATGTTTAAGTTTCATGAACACTTATTTTAACCATGTTTTGTTCTCTAACTAAAGTCGAACTAATGTCACAAAACTACTAAATAGTTGAAACAGAGACACCGATTACAGTCTACACGTTCATGTTACACGTCATTAAATCTCAACAGACAAATTACAAAAAACGTGTACTTGTACGTCAAAGTTTGTGCACACGTACACGTACGCGTACAAGTTTAAAATCTCAACCTCTCTATTAGAGTACTCACGTGTAGAGTCAGAGTGATATTTACAAAAAAAATTGTAGATGACCAATTACAAGATATGAAAATTTCATTTTTATTGAAGAAGCAGTTGTCTATGATATCAAATAGTCTACGAATGGTTATGAAAAGTGTAGTAGTTCTTTGGAGTTTTGAGAATCCATATTTCATTCACACCATTTCTTAAATATGCTGTAGCACAGTACATTTGAAGTTTCTCCTATAGAGCAGTTACAATTTTTGTTAGAAATAAAGATAGGGGCTTGGAAAAGCAGTTGCTGGAAGTTATCTTTATTTTTGTAAGGATTTTTATGAAGTTTAGGAATCCAGCGTAGGTAGAGTAGATTTAACTTACTTTCATTGACTTAAATATTGAAAATTTTAGAGACTGAAATATGATTCTAAGGAATTTCATCCACAGAAAGTGAACTATAAGTTGGATTTTCATATGTAGATTGAGAATACTAGTATCTATTAAATGAATTTAATTATAATGCTAGAAAATACAATAATTCTTATCATAATAAAAATCTAATAAAACTGAACACATGGCAGAACTCCAAGACGCGAGGACAAGAATCAATGATTTTTAATTAACTCATTAATGTAAGATAAAAATAAATACATGCCGGGCAAAGCGCACGTACTTTTCGCTGCAATGTGGGGCTCTATGAAGGTCAATACTTTGTATACTAGTACTTGCAAATTTTATGTTTTTTAATGTTAAGATGGCTTACTAACTTTGTATGATGACTTATTGAATAATGTTTATAATATTGTGTATTCAAATGAGTATCAATGAATTATGATGGAATACTTATTTAATATAGAGTATCTGTCATATACAGAATTTTGTACCTGCCTCTTGTTTATACAGGATTGGTGTCATAGGGCTGCACACCTTAACTTGTGAAGCAAACTGGTCAACAAATTCACTAGCCATATACCGTTTTTTTTAGTATTTAATTTGCAGTATAATTCTACTATAATATGTAAAATAAGGAAAAACCAAGTATTAAGAATTTCCAAGAAAGATAACAGTAATCTAGCATGGCCCCTGAAAGAGTGAAGGGGTTATCATCCATTGCCTAAACTTCTCACAGTCGAAATCAGAGTGAAGACACACCTAGATCCCGTATATTTTTATCTAATTATATGCACATCAGGCTTTGTAACGTAGCTGAATTGTGGACATTTCTTCAGTCATTAATTTAATAATATACGGTAGAAGATACCTCGAGAACATTTGCATTATTTGCTGACTTTTAGTTTGAATTTGAATATAACATTATTCTTTCTTTCAAACCTTTTGTTTTCGACTAATTGCTTGTTTTTTACATTTGACTTCTTGTAGATAATCTATACAAGGGTCACATAATCCGATTGATTGCCCATTTGTCCTCACTAAATAAGTTTCAACTTCTGTGTTATTACCTATACAAATAATTAACCCTCATGGAACCCACATTGTTCATGCGCTTTTGCAAATCATCTTTTTCTTCTATTTTTACCTTACGTTATTGAGTAATTATCAATTTTGTTTCATTTTCCTCACGTTTTAAGATTCTGTCATGTTTTTTAATTATTATTCAATTTTTGAAAATATTAATAGACGCGGATTTACTTTAAAATAACCACGTATCTCTGTGGGGTAAATAGATTCTTAAATGTGATAAAGAGAAGAGCCCAGGCAGGTTACTACTAAATTAAACAACGCTGATTATTAATAAAATTACTGTCAATTTTGTAATTTTTCCTGACACAAATATGTCAACATGTAACAAATGTTGAATTCTTTGTAACATGTTTGCAAGTCTACACGTTCTCCATCTTGGTATGTAGGTTTCAAGGTCTAAATTCAATACAACAGTGATACATAATGTCATCATTTTTTCCACACGAGAACCTTTTTCTTTCTATTAAGTACTTACATTACTAACAATAAAATACCAAAGCAATCATATTTTATACAATGAAATATGAAGATAACGAACAGTAACCATGGTCAAAAGTCCATTGAAACAATACAAATTGGGAGCAGGGCAAATACGGACCTCTAAACACATCAGAGGTGGGATCAGGTGCCATGAAGGAGTGAGCATCCCCTGTCGACCGGTCTCACCTGCCATATGCTCTTTATCATAATGACTTTAACCTTAGTTAGCTCAGAATGAAAATAATGACCTATCAATATGTATATAAAGATTCTCCAGTCAATATTCGACCTATCGACAGATTGTATAAGCAATCAAAGTCATTGTAATTTGCGAAATGTTGACTTCAAACGTGATTGTAGATAATTTGTATCATTAACTTTTTTGACAGTTTGACAATTATTTGTCAGTAGTCTGTATCTTTTAGAAATCATTCTTAAGAAGAACATGCGCTTGCGTATCGAATCAACTGTGAGACATAAACCTGATAAGCAGGTGATAATGGTATATCGCTATATAAATAAAGGAAGATGACAATAGAAGAGATATAAAGTCATCACGATTATCATAAAGTTTACTTGTTAGTTTTTCAATCTTTGTAAGATCATACAACCTATCATTGAGTCAAATGCTGACTGATGTTTTTCATACTAATTGTTAGGCCATTATTTATACACTGAACTGTCTACGGATTTTTCCGGGTTTTTTTCCCGATCATGACAAGGAGCACACGCGTACGGCGGGTGTGACCGGTCGGCAGGGAATGCTCACTCCTCCATGGCACCTGATCCCACCTCTAAATTTTGAGGTCCGTGTTTGCTCTGCTCCAAATTTGTATCGTTTCATTCGACTTTCGAGATTGAATACTGTTCGTTATCTTCTTATTTTATTAGTAAAATATCCAAATATAAAGCAGTTGTTTTAAACTCCACAGTGTCTTTTATTTTGAGTTCAATGGGATATATCGAGTCAATAGGAATTGTACAGGGGGACAATTCTTAGAGAGTACAAATAATTTGGAAATATCCTTCATACTGTCAAGCTTCCTTAGTCTCTTATCAATTAAAGTCATGTTTTGCTAATAAATTTGTTTACAAATCCGTTCAGACTTTTTTCAAGGAAATATGGAAGATAATTGTGTTTCCATTGAAACAGAGAAAGTGCACTAAGCTAGCAATATTGGTACAAAATAAGCTTGTAAAGAATGTAAAAAGATGAACAATATTAGTGTTTACCTGATTGATTTAACAGCGATATAATTATCATTCATTATTAATTAGGATGTTGCTTGACAATGTACTTATTGATCAATGGTTTTAACTCGTCTTATAAGTACGTCATTTATAACATATTATTATGTCATTCCATAATACCCGGTATCACACTACAACATCACATCATAATGTCACTTTGTATTATCACATTGTAAATCATGTATCTTATTGCAATATCCATCCGTGTAGTAATTGTGAAAAAAGTGTGGTATATCTTTCAGTACTTTAAAGTTTCCACTTTCATGAAGAAACATCATCCATTCACACCTTGCTTCACCAGAAAAAAAGACTCGATGAGAAGAACACAGGCGCATACGAACATGACGGTGATGGGAAGAAGGCTGGCTATTATCGACGTAATGAACCAAGCTGTAAAATAACAAATACGGTATTAGAACCAACTGCCACAATAAAGTAAAATAAAAATAATAGGAAAGACCATAATTTGTTGAAAACCTAGATATATATTGAAGAATATGTCTTTCTGGGGAAAAAAATGCCACTTTTCAAAAACATCGAGCCATATGTGTGCCACTTCTTTTTTTTTTTTTTTTTTTTTTTTTTTTTTTTTGGCATGTAAATTATTGGTGATCAGATCATATAAATGTATCTGTATCGACCATATTACGTAATGCCTAATGTGAAATGATCATTGTCAATAAACAGTTTTATGGAACTTAGATGTTTTGAAAGTACGGACAAATATTCTGGGATAGTACATCGTTAAATACAAAAAAATTAGTTATAAGATATATTTTACTTACAAGGGGGCGTATATATTTCATTTTCTTTGACCTCTAACACGTCGATTTTCAGGATACCCTTCACCGTTCCATATCCATCTTCACAACACACAGTTAACATATAAGAATTTACGTCTCTATAAGCGAATATAGGTTTTTCTTGTGTAAATAATAAAAACTGTGTACCATTGATAAGTTTAATTTCAAAATTAGCTGTCTGAGGTCGGACACTTTCCAGTGTACAGCAAACAGGGTCGGGAGGGACCGTGGGGTCATATACTGCCACTTTATAAATTTCAGCATTTCCTCCCTGAGTTTCCAGCACTGATATCTCCCTTGGAAAATTTGTTATAATAGGTGGCTGAAATAGGAAAAAATAATTTTCTAAATAATTTGTTTATTTGACTTCATATGGTATAAATATCTTTTAAAAATATATGCAACGTTTTTACTGTAAAAAAGTGATTTTGCAAATAATAAGATAAAATAATGTAAATCCTTATTCATTTATTTTTTTAATGCTTGTTAATGTGTCAGTTCAGTTCAAAACATGATAGACGTGCCATCTCATTAATATATGAGGGTACAATAAAGTAACATTTTATTTTTGGAAAACATTTGAAAATAACGCTCAAGTATTAATTGATAAAAGAATGTAAATATTATTTAATATGTTAATTCAAAGCAAAGCGTAAACGACGTACCGTAAAATTTATATAAAGAGACATCAAAGTAATAATTATATATTGTTTTTAAAATATCTAGACTGAAAAATATTTTTGGTTAAAAAAGTTTAGTATTAGTTGAAAAGAATGAAAATAAATGCATGAAAATATTTCTTTTTTTCAAATATAATGTATCATCAATCAGAGATGTTTATACATGTTTTGACATCGAGTATGGTACTGTATTATATAATTTCTAGCATTGTATTTGAACATGAAAAGCTTACCATTTGTGCTAGTATATTATACATTGTAGTTGTAAGAGTTACTGTTCATTATTAAGGACAGAAATCATTAAAATGACATAATTTACATATTATCTTGCTTAGTATTTTTTTTGGTGTTAGATTAGACTGACATAATCACTGTGAAGATATCAAATCAAATATGAAAAGTGATGAAAACAAGCATTAAAACAAGACTAAAACCCCTGTCACATTTCCAAAAACGACCAACGGCCGACGGTTTTAGAGACAAAAATAACAAGAACAGATATGGGTTACCCCATATCCAAGATATTCGACTTTTAATTTATTCGAATTTTCATTATGCTCAGATGATTTCTAATTAAAAAAAACTATTTACTGATAAAACGTCAGAGATACTCAAGCTGTAGAAAGTCAACTATACAATGGTCATAAATATCCTAAAATGACATAATATTTAGGCTACTGAGTTTCAACATCTTTTGTTGATTAAAATATGCATGTACTAAGGAAACTGCATGTACATATATAACGTTACATGCGTGTAGTGACTTATTATCACAACGTTGCAGATGCCTAAAAAAATAGTTTTAATTTCCCATAGAACATAGACTAAATATAATTAACCGTATAATTTTAAAGATGTATTTAACAGCTCACTCATTTTCAGGAATATTTTAATCCAAATAGCATGTTACAGGCCTGTAGCAACGTTTTCAAAGTGAAAGGGGGGGGGGGGGCTCCGAAAAAATCCCGCGTACTATGGGCCTGTGCTACATGTGTACCATCTAACTTTCCAATGATAGAATCTTCTGTAAAAATTCGAAACAAGTCCAAGCAAAGATCAAAGATAGCCCAATTTCTTAAATAGCAAAACTATAGATCTATCCAGGGTAGATTTTAATTTATTTTTTAATTTTGTGCTATTAAAGTACTATCACTCAAAGTATAGGCAGATGTTAAAGATGGGTCAACAAGAGTAATCAATGAACTCGTCTAGAGATGCATTGACGACCGTTGTTAAACGCAAAGTAAAGCGCGAGATCGGTTGCGGCTGTGGAGCGTCACTGAACATTCCTTCGTCATAGAATAAAATCCGACATTTAACACTTTATATAGACTTTGAATATAGAGACGTTTTGAAGATAAACTACATTTTTGTTTCTAGAAATGTTTTTATTTACAAAAATAGTATATTTTCGTGTTTATAAACTGAGTAGATCAATGACCTAACATCGTTTTAGATAACTCAGCCCCTCTAGCCTAGTCTAGGGCTTGAGTAAAAAACCTGCACTTGTTATGAAACTGGTGTATAGTTCTTCCTCATGTCCGTAGCAAATACTGATACCCATTCTACATGATCTAAGCGTCGCTAGCGAACGGTGCACATACCTGTGCTTGCAAGACCAAATAGACTAGGTTTACACACGTGCGAAGATCCTTTCCGACGAGCTCGGCAAATCACGTTGCTTTGCCGAGAAGTTACGATTGCAGGTGTTTAACCATAGGCCTAATATCCATTCCGTTATTTAAAAAAAAAGAGAAAAAAAAAACACACACACAGTTAATGATTAACATTCTCACTCAAAAGAAAATATAGGGCAATTAACGAACAATAATCATGACAGGTATATAATTGGTGAAAAGATTTATCACTATCAATCGAAGGATGACCTATATATTTTCGTGAAAAAGACTGAGGAGGCAGCGAGCGTAGGAATATGAAAACTTTTTATTTCCTTTTCTGGGGAAAAGTGATTATCTTAAAATCATTTTACGTTAATTTTGTTTTCTTTAACGAATTAAATATACATCATTATTCTTAACATTTGTTGTAATGTTGTATCTACTGATCATGAATGGAACTATTTTCTTCGGAGCAATTGTGTGAAGAGTACCTGACTTTAGTAATATATCTTGAATAGATAATATGCACTGATCGAATATATTAAAAAGGATTCTACGGGCGACAGTCGGCAGTTCATCGGGCGTTGTCTTGCCCGATTTTGACATCTTTTTTCGTTGGCCGACCAATTTTGCGTCCACCGGGCCAAGTTATAATTTTTTCAGCGTCGGTGGCCGATTCCTTCATTTGAAGCAGTCGTTGAATAGTCCGTTGACCAACCTTCTATCATCGTCCGACCATCGGCAGACAGTTTGTTAAGTCTGTCGTCAGTCGGTCGACATTTAGGTATTGGAATTTCGTAAATGTCGGCCGACGTTGAAAATCTAACTGCGGCTCAGCGAACGATGATCGGGCTAGGGTTTGGCGATTTATAGATATTTTAACTTTTAAAGCTATCGGTGTTCCTAGGAATTTATGTGACTACTCTGCGTCGCCCGATATTAATGTCGACCATTTTTATGTTTTTCAGCCGACGATACGAGAAAAAGTTGCTCGCCCGACCTTGTGACCCCCGACTTAAATGTGACCTAGGCATTACTGGAAACAGAGCAAAAAATACCACTAACCCTTGGAAAAACCAGAAGTATCATATTTTCCAGGAGGCTGCCTCGGTTAAGAAATTGATCGTATGCACTACATACCCAAGCGTATGGAATCAAATGTGAGAAATAAAGACTGTATGTATATATAAGTGATAATCTTAATAAAGTATTAACTTACACCATTAAAAGTTTCTACACTGAAAGTGGTTGTGGCAGTATTTCTGCACGTATCAACCACTCTCAGCTTTGCTAAGTACCCAGCCATTCCTTGCGGACTCTCTGAAGGTTCCAGTTGTTTCCCAACTTGTGTAAAACCTTAATTAAAAATGTAGGCAGTTTAGCTTTTCTGTGGAGCAATGCATTATAATATATTTAGGAGTTTATTACAAAATTCATCTATAATATTGACTGAAGTGCCTTGGCAAAAATGTGTGTTGTCATAAATCTCAAGAAACAAATACTTTGATTGGAAATTGAGAAAAAAAATACCTTTTAATTTTTGTAGTTGAAACTATCAGGTTCTGTATGCATTGAATAATGGAAATTTATGAATGAAAACTATATCCATTTGAGGTGATCCTTAACATTTTTCCTTATATCTGCTGTATGAAATTCTTATATAGCCAGCACGTGACAAAACCTTTCTTCTCTAACGTTAATAAAAATCTATTAATATGTACAAAGAAAAGGAAGATCATACTGAATGATTCATTCAAATCTATGTAATCGTTTTTCAAGGCCCAGGAATATGTTACGTTCTCCTTGTAATCTTGTCCTAGGACAGCGAAGGAAGAGAAGCTTGTTCCTATTGGCCAGTGATCTGCTGCTGACGTCAGGTAAAATGATTCTTCAAAAGAGATCACTGTATCTACAAACATTTAAAAATTCTGAGACTGAATTCTGAATTGTCAATTTAAAATCCTATGTTCTTTTAATTAAAAGGGAGGAATAAAATTAGTGAACAAAGAAAATTATATAATGAAAAGAACAATTTACCATTAGTTGGCATGTTCAATGTTTATGAGTTTATTATCATATACACACCCTTGAAGATTTTTTTCCAGAGATTAACATTATCATCATCAGTTATCAAATATATGTTTATCTGATGACTAGAATATGCCATGTTTCAATATTCTTCATAGAAAATTATTAAAATTAATCGGCTTTAACTGACTCTTACTATTGTTAGCATACACTTTGATAGTGTACCCTCGATTTGTTAATTTTTCGACTGCAGTTGAATTTGGAAATTGTTCTGACCAGTCAAATTGCATGTATTCATATGGGTCTTCAGTGAACTGTGTGCGATATGTATTCTGCGGACAGTATCTATCGGTCAGATAATCACAGGCTTGGTATGATATGATGTTCTTGGTTTTCGATCGCCTGTAAATAAGATTTTTATAAATTTTGTCTTATGTTTTAAAGGCATACACAAATTTTCATCTTAAATGAATATATGTATATCTAAAAATTATGAGAAAAATATCAAAAACATGCCAGCCGATTCTATCTCCTGCAACAATTGCAATGCGTTCTTCTTCAGGTACAGTATAATTCAGAGATTTTCCAAGATCGGTATCTACAACATAATATATAACATATCTTGTATTTCTGCATCATGGGCGATATACAGGTAAAAAGTCACGGATTATTTTTAATGAGGACAAAAATGACAATGAGTGTGTATGTTTTCAAATGCAATATCGAGTTAGCTACAGGCCAAAGAAAAAAATGTAGGTTTGAACAACGGAAGAAATAAAGTTCCTGCAAAATAAATATTAATAACAATAACTGTAACAAATTTGAAAATTAGCAAGATAGTTTCTGGATTTAACGGAAGAAAATATCCTGTGTGCAATCAAACACATTTTTCACTTACCTAGAACCTCCACTTCCTGTATAGCTTTGAGTTCATATATTGTGCCTGATTTATAGGTCCAGACCATAAACTGGACAATTCCTGCTTTACAAGGATAAAACTCCCAGGCTGATATTATACCACAACAGTTTATATCAAACAAGGAGTCCTGCATCAGGAACATCATCCCTGTCAAAGGAAGATCATCCACTTATACAAACATCAACTCATCTCGGTTTCAAAACCAGTGCTCGTTATCAACCAGTTTTGATCAAAATCTCTTTTCTTCTTATTTATCTTATTTTATTTTTTAGGGTTAAAGAGCTCGAGACACGAACCTTGCTAAGAAAAAAAGGGGATGAGAGTTTGAGAAAACTGGTTACTAACGAGCACTTGTTAGGGATCTGTTTCATCTTAGGTGTTTCATGCCATGGTTATGAACATAAAAAAGAACAACTGTGAAGGAGTGATGCTACATTGTTGATAATCGGAAAAAAGATCACCCACATCAATGTTAGGTCTTTCCCTTGTTATTTGTTAACGAGGGGAGGTATACATGTGACACTGATATATTAATCAAGCTCTTCGTAAATGACGTATGTATTAATTAGATTCAAAAAATGAAAAGAAATCATAGGTGTTTAAACAATGCGTATAACCCTAAAAATATACGAAGGTCGTTCAATAAATAATGCAACAAACAGTATATCATAGTAAATATAGATCTATTTAATTTCATGTTTTCACAGTTAAAACGTTCAATTAAGGAACTCCTAATCACAGAAAACCCAATGATTTTTCCTATTGTCCTCGTAAAGAAATTCACTTTTAAAGTATGCATGGTCACTACACTGAAAAAACTGTTTTAAATGTTCTCTGCCAAAAAGATGAAAATGAAAGCGTATGTGAAAACTGCTTTTACATAAATCGCCGAAGAACTAAAGATATGATTTTTATATGTGGAAAGAATAGTCTTTAACGCTGTATAATTTTCAGATTGACTCAGAAATTCAAAAGTAAAAAAGTAAGAGTTAAAATATAAAAGTCGAACTGGTCGATTGAAATTTGTAGGGACACCAACAATTATCGATGCAATGTACGATTTCTGAAAATGTCAGATTTACATCCAAAGACATTGCTAGATGGCTAAGCATTTCATCGTCATAACATTTTATAGAATTCTGACATCGGAAATGAATATAATATTTCTCTCAGATATGTGCCTTATTTTCTTAAAATTGCCTTAGAGAAAAATACGCATTAAATATGCCAAAGGTCTACTTAAAAAAATATTTTAACAAAATAGAAGATTTGTTAAATTTGCGTTATATATGCATGGGTGCACTTTTTATAGCCAAAACAGAATAACAATAATAGAGTGTGCAATGAAAGAAAAAGCTATCGTTCTTATTATTGAAAGAGACACAAGGGCTCCAAGCATGTTTTATTAGTTTTCATTTTTAGGTCCAGTAAAACATGTAGATATACCAAAAGGAAGGACCATCAATGGTAACTTTTATGTTCCAATTGCACTGAGGAAAGATAAACAGATTTCCTGCAAAGGCTGTTGCAAATAAGCACAGAGAAATAAATGAAATTCTGAAGAAAAGAAAGTTTACAGAGCTTTGCCATCCCCCTTATTCGGTAGATCTCAGCCATTGTGAAATTTTTTAATTCTAAAAATGCATGAAAACAAAGAAAGATTGTACAATGTTAGATATGTCATGGAAAGTGATATTCATTAGTGTCTTTGGGGCATCCCTAAAGATGGGTATGCTGAGGTTTTCTGGTCATGGGTACAAAGACTTAAGACATGTGGATAACAGAGAATGCTTTGGGGGATTGAAAATGTTTAGAATATGTATTACGCACTTTTCTTACTTTTAGATGACCTATTGCATTATTTATTGAACGACCCTCGTAATTTTACTTTGTAATTGTATATGAAAATTCCTGTATACAAATAATATCATAAAAGAAAAGTTGAATATGATTAAATGAATCATCTGATTAAATCAGATAAGCTACTCTACCTTCGTCCTCTTCACACGTCTCTGTACTCGCTGTAGCAACCGCGGGGTCCTCAAAGTATAAAAGTGGAACAGAAAAACAATCTGAAATTTTAGAGGGTTAATATGTTAATCAAGAAATCGTCTTATGTATCTTTTCTCTGTTAAATCTTGGGGTATTATGGTCTATAAATGAGAGTATTATTATTATCTTTATGATAAAGGTTTAAGATATGGTTGGTGTGTATTAAATAGAAAATGACTCTTTTTAGAAAAATCCATTTATTAACGTCGCACTTTCATCGAGATTTCATACACAGAACAAAGGTGGAGATGAAATCTAAGGAAACATGAAAATACATGAATAATATGCAAATGGCATCCAATAACACAAAAAACTCTTTCCATGTTCTAAGTTTTGAATTTGCTTTGTTGGGTGTTAATGCAAAAATGAGATGATAACTTTGAATTGATTTTTGAAATTACATTCCGAGAGATGAATTTAAAAATTAGAGAAAGACACATGCTGATCAACCACACTTCGGAGTCTCAAAATCTGATTCAATTTTTTAAAGTGGTCAACACATGTTACACATGTTCTGATCTTTCAACAGCTTGAGTTGTCACTGTCGCTAAATTGTATTTTAATTAACATTGGTTCCAATTTTTCTTGTAACTTATAACTTGGATCTTGGATCTTGTAACTTAATAGTTTTGGCTTAAAAGCAATGATACGTTAGTATTAGTATTTTTCTGCATCAAAATATTTCACAAGTCGCAGACTGTATCATTTTTGACTTCATTTGATAATTGAAAATGGTTTCCTTAATTTCTCTTTTATTAGAATTCATGTATACAATAATTTACAGCAACAATAAGCAAACGTAAATAATAGTTTTACCCCTTTTCACCTTTGAAAATAATCTTTTGTGTTAGTTATATAAAGTGTCTTCCCTAGACAACACATTTTCTATCTAATAATTTTAATAACCTTGTCTCCTTACCCCACCAACCTCTCAAAAATGATTTTGTGCTCGCTTTTAAAACTTTATTGAGAAAAGTGTTTTTCTATTTGTGTCTATCACAGATCTACACAATAAAAAACAATCGTCGCTTGTCTTATTCACTCAAAAACTACGAGAGCACGAGATTCGTTCAAGACATCCATCTGTATGACAAAAGTCTTTACAAAATGAATATTTTGATGCACATTGAATTTTTAAAAAGTGACGATAATGAACAGTGATTGATCTCATAAATCCTTTAAACCTCACAAATTGTGAACAGGGCAAAAACACAGACCCCTATCTGGAAACACCATAAGTAGGATCAGGTGCCGAAGAGGAGTAAGCATCCCCTGTCATACGTTCATACCCGCCGTAAGCCCTCTGTATTGACCACGAAAACCGAGTAATCAGTAGTAAAAATTAGTATAAAAACAATGGCATAACATATGATTTGAATGAAATGTGAAGATTACAAATAGTGATGCATCTCAAAAAGCCTATAGTAAAAACAAAGGCCTAACAATTAGTATGAAAAAAGTCAGTAAAAACACGACCCAATGATAGACTGCATTTCTCAAAATACGACCCAAAGACAAGTTGTATTTGTAAACGAGGTTACTATAACGACCATTAGAAATTGGGAAATGCTGACTTCAAACGAGATTGTTAAAAGCTCTGCATCATCAACAAATTTGTCGGTAGCCAGCCTCTGTTTAAAATTTTATCGTACTCAGAGTATGTTCTTGCTTACCGAATAAGCTTGTAGACATAAACACCTATGCAGGTGATAGTGGAGTGTAACTACATAAATAAAGGTAGTTGATGATGGAAAAGCTGAAGTCGTCTCGTTTGTCATATACTAGTAGTTTAGTTGAATGTTTTGCTTCTTCGCCTCGTCATAATTCAGTTTCAAGCATACCAGCTGTGTGTGGAGAAGCTTATTTTCATAAATTGGAGGCAAAACGTGTGGAATAACAAAATTATTTCAGCAGTTATTTTTCTGATTAAGGAAGTCAAGACAGGAAACATTTTAAAATCAAATTACAATCGAGAAACTTAAACAGCATCCATATAAAGCTACATTTTTTCCACAAAATGACTTTTTGAAGATGGCATATATATATATATACTTCATTAATACACTCTATGACATAGTTTACCAAAAATACAGGTTTACTTATGCCCTACAATGTTCCATTTATTTTTCCCACTTACAATATTTTCCGATGGCTGGATCAACAAGTGGACATCCACTAAACAATTCCCACAATGTCTTAGCATGATCAACCGTGTTGAGAGCCTGAAAACTGGATCCGGTGTAATATTTTCCATCCGATCCCACAGACTGAGAAAGTATGCTTTGGGTTTGCGCTGACTTGACACCTATCGCCCAAATATAATTCTCTCCAGCCATTCTTATATCAAGCCCCTTGCTATAGGGGTCATCATTGGAAAATATACCGTCAGTGGTGTATATATAGTAATTAGGGGCGTCTGGTCTATCTCCTTTACCAGACACAAACACTGACTTAAAAGCTTCATCTAGCGCTAAAGAGGAAGAGTCAGTGTCATTCTCGTATAGCCAGCTTCTCCTGTTGGTCGATATGCCCAAAATGGCGTTCATGATTTCTGATTTGGTGGTATAATTATTGAGGTTAAAGCGTATCTTCGGTTGTGTGTTGTATGTGACGGCTCCTACACGGATTCCGTTGTCCGGATTTATGTACATCTGATCAACAAATTTGGCCAACATTTCCTTCTGATAGTTCCATTCACTAGGGGATTTCAGCTCCCCCGTGCTATAGGATTCCTCAAAAATAAACACAATATCTGCTCTTTCATTAGGACGGCACCATGATTCTGTAAGGGTAAATCAAATGTTTTTTTTTTTTTTTTTTTTTTTTTTTTTTTTTTTTTTTTTTTTTTTGGTTCTTTTCAAATTTGTTGTGAAATTATTATTAAGAGATATTAGTTTGGACGTTTTACAAGACTAGTAATTTTAATAGACTGCAGTAACTTCCTTCGAACGGTCACTGATTATAGGCTCTATAAATGTTTTGTTATTTAGATTGTTCATTCGTAATTTTCATTACTTATGAAAATTATTGCTGAATAAGTGAATAAAAGGAGAATCAAATACGAGTATACACATGTGTAATTAGTCATTAGTATGGAAATGTTCATTTTAGAAACAGAAAAAAGGTCTGAAGCAGCACATTTATTGAGAGGTACTCTCCGAATTTTGTTATAGCAAAAATAAATAAATAAACAAATAAAAATATGTGCAAAGTTTAAATTTGATTGTGTATTTCTTCACGCTTACAGTGAGATTTTATGACTTACATGTAATAAAGCTAAAAGCAATTTAAAGTCGTACGTTATTTACATCATGATTCAGCATCGACCTTTTTTTTTCTTCACAGTTTAAACTTTTCGATCGCAAATTCTGCAATTCGGTTCACTGCCTATCATAGCGTTATCAGATTCCTAATGTAACTAACGATGAGATTATAATTACATAATGCAATCTTTTTCGACATTCTGTACTAATGTTTCCTGTTGTTCTCTTTGTAAATTTTACACAATTCTTAATAGAAATTAGGGTGTGTCGTCTCGACTTGTCTAGATTTATTGTTTAAATTTAGCTTAAATTTTTAAAACATTTAGAATGTTTTTTGAGAAACATTCTAAACATAACGATAATACAATAGATTGCTTGCAAATTTATGGACATGTAAAATGAATATTAAAAGCAACTATTTTGTAGTACTTAAGGAAGTTTATTTAATGTTGTTTTAGTGAGTTTATAAGAATATAAAGCAAAAGAATCTGAAAATGTTGCAATCAATAATACTTCTTTTACTTCGTATCAGAGTCCATCAGAGTCCATACTTACATATGATACGTTATAAAAGCTAATCATATTTTCACTCTATTTTTTAGAACTTTATATGTAGTCTTTGCAATGAAATGATGTCATATCTCAAGTTGATATCATAAAATGCGTGTACTTGTATAATTTAAAAAAAATTTTAATTAGGATAAATTATATCAATTAGAGAAGTCCGATATTAAATTAAGTTCTTACAACTGTATTATTATTATTATTATTATTATTATTATTATTATCATTATTGCAATATTCACTTTTGATAAAGGACAACAAACAATTAAAATTTCTTTCAAACATAAAGAGAAAACGTTTGAATAATTTAATCTTACTTAAATTTAAAAACAAATCCTCAATACATACCCGCTAATCCAAACAGGGAAATCAAAACATATATAATTTTCATTTTAAATTCAAATTCAATCAAATCTTGAACATGTTGATTTCATATAATAATTCCAATGATCGAATACCATCGTAAGACCTTGTCAACATGATTAACACCTTACTTATATTCAATAACTTGGGTCGTTCTGTTCAAGTTAAATGTCAGGTGTTGCAACAGGGTACCTTTTTTTTTAAAAGATGACATAGTTTGAAATCACGGTTATCGGGGGTAATGCATCAATTAATCAATTATTACAATACGTCAAGTAAGCTTTGTCATTATGGGTCGTTATAAATTTCAGAGACTAGCGTGATCACAGAAATAATATGTATGCGTCAGAAAGGAACTAAAATATTTTGATTTCTGAAGCATTGCAAACTGCAATGCATTTGGGGACCACAGCTATTTTAAACTGGTCATGCAGTCTTTATCAATGTACATCAGTACCTTGTTACATGCTATCTTTTCATGAAAATTTAGTTTGAAAAGTTCAAACACCTTAGATATGTGCAAAGAAAGATCAAATTAAAATCTACCTTATTTCATATTGTGCTGCAAGTCGATGTTCGACATAAATGAATACACTGCATGTTTCTTTGTACTGAATAATAACTTTACTGAGGTGATATATCGTTGCTACATAAATTCTGCTGTAAAATTATATTAGTGAAATATGTAACAATTCAGCATTACATTGATTATTACTCACTGACTAAACTCTCATTTGAATACATAAGCTATATATTCTCTGAAAAATCAGTTATATTTTTGTGTTCCCTGAGTGGTATATCTTCCTTTAACACTACATGGTACAAATATG